CCCCTTCCCTCCTTTTTTTTGTCCTCCTCATGTCGTATTCCCTCCTTTGTGTCCCCTGTTTCTTCAAGTGACGTCTTCCGCCATCTCCCCCAGCAACGCCATGGTGATGGGCTGGCCACTGTCATGTCCGGCGCCTCTGTTATGCTCATCCCTTCACCCCTCTCTCGTAAATAACTTGCCCTCTTTTTTTATCTTTATCTTTCCCCCATTTTGTGGACATTGTATCATGCTGAAACGGTCCTGTACTGATTGACTGTAGCCAGGTTGCAGAGCCTAAAGAGATGCTTGTTAAAGCGTCAGCGTGACATACACATGGAGATGACTTGTGTTTACTCTGTACAGGGGGAGGCAGCAGCACACTCTCTCTATAAAGGGGGAGGCAGCATCAGACTCTCTCAAAACAGGGGGAGGCAGCAGCACACTGTCTATCTCACAGGATTGTTGATATCCACCTGGATTCATCTTCTTCTTATAGACCAGCGGTGTCAAACTCAAGGCCTGGGGACAAATCCGGCCCTTGACTTCATTTTCTGTGGCCCCATAAGAGCTTGCAAAGAATATAATATGTTTATTATACGGTTACATGATGATTTACAGAAGCACGTTGCCAATAAACTACATGTCCCACAATGCATCTCAAATTAGACTTTTTTCTCAGAATTTGACTTTTTTTCTTCTAAATATGCCTTTTTTCTCAGAATTTGACTCTTTCTTAAAAATGTTACTTTTTTTTAAATGTCACTTCTGTTTTTGACTTTTTTTTCCAGCTTTTCTTTTTAAATCATTTTGTGACATTCTCACTGAAGAGACTTGCAATTATTTGCCCCAGACTTCTGCTTTCCGACGTATTAATTATGAAGTTATTACCCTATCCAATAATAATCCAATGCAGAGGCAATAATGTAATATAATTAGGGCTGTCAAGTTAACGCGTTAATAACGCGTTAACACAAAAAATAATTAACGCCACTAATTATTTTAACGCGATTAACGCATGTGTGTTTTTTTCCTCGACCGCCCCGTAGTTTCAGAGCGCATCGAGTTTAAAATACCATCTACAAGCTGATGCTGACAGCCCCGCTCCTGCCACCCGCTTGTGGCAGACCACACTTCCACGCTCACCGGCAGGCACCGACTGGCTATTGGGAGGACCGGGAGGGTGTGTGTATGTGTGCCCCGAGCGAGCGAGAGAGAGACCTTACGTGCATTGTTGTTGTTAGCATCTGGTGCTAGCTAGCTGCGCTAACGGATATAAGGCGCTGTTTCGATGAAAACAGAGGAGCGACATTTCGCCACAACTGCGCCGAGCACTTGACTTCATGCAGGAAGCCAGACAGTGGGACATTGTACGAAAAGTCAGCACACTCAGCACGGATAGTGCGCGCAACATGATTGCAGAGTCCAGGCAACTCCCGTTCGAGCATATGCCTTGAGTTGCACATAGCTCCAACGATCCCACACACACACACACACACACACACACACACACACACACACACACACACACACACACACACACACACCATTTGTATTGTATTATTGAATGAGAGAGGTTCCAGGTTGAATTGAGGCGAATATTTGTAATGTTCGAGGTTGTTGTGTTTAATATTCATGAGCATAGTTGTCATTGTTCAAATGATAATAAACATTAGCATAAAGCATATTTGTCCACTCATATGTTGATAAGAGTATTAAAAACTTGAAAAATATTCCTCTAAGGTACATTTAGAACAGATAAAAAATGTGCGATTAATTTGCGATTAATCGCGATTAACTATTTTAATCGACTGACAGCCCTAAATATAATACATTATTTTATATATATATTTATATATATATATATATGTTACAACCGGCCCTTGAGTGCAGCCATAATGCTGATATGGCCCGCGATTAAATTGAGTTTGACACCCCTGTTATAGACACATGCATTTGGACTATACCTATGTTGTAAATGTATTATCTTTTCAATTTACACACGGCATCTATTGCACGTCTATCCGTCCTGTTGCTCTCCTCGAGGTTTCTTACATTTTTCCCTTTAAACTGTGTGGTGTCTTCTTTGGAAGTTTTTCCTTGTACGATGTGAAGGTCCAAGGACAGAGGGTGTCATATTGATATTCTGTGCAAACTGTAAAGTCCACTGAGACATGTGTGATATTGGGCTATATAAATAAACATTGATTGATTGATATACAGGGGAGGCAGCAGCAGACTTTGGGAGAGTCTACAGTGAGGTGGGGTGACTCCACACTGACCTCTGCACGCTGGGATGGATGATGGGCCTCAGAGCCTCAGAGTGACTCATTAACCTATTTCCGCCCGAGGTCATTATGAGACAGCAATGTGACCCGCCACCTTTTACTGTCACGTTCCTTCGCTTCGTTACTTCTCTGCAGTTGAGGGCGACCTGCCTCAGCAGTGCGGATGAAATAATCGTCAGCAGGCTGAAAAACATGACTGCATGTGCATGAGAATGCTCACATTGCTCAGGCATCTCTGCCAACAAAGAGCTGCACGCACTGCTGTGTATGGGTGTGTGTGTGTGGTGCGTGTGCATGTATATTATGGGATGGCGGGCGGTGGTGTTGTCAGGCAGGGAAGTGGGGGTGGCAGAGTGTGCGGTGAGCTGTGTGCACATGGGGGGAGGGGGCAGAGGGAATGGACGCCCCATGAATATTATGGGATGATGATGGTGGTGGTGTTGGGGGGCTGGAGGAGGGTGTGTGAGGTGGAAAAATGGCAGTGCATATGGGATGTAGGAGGAGGTGTTGGTGACGGCGATGCATGTGAGTGTACATGCACGCGCATACATGTGAGGGGCATTCAAGCGATAGTAACAGACAACGGCCAGACATAGCCTTTGTTGCTATGCGATCTGTATGCACCGTAGCCTACAGTGAGAATATTGCAGAGCGGCCATAGTTGTAAAAGAAGCAGTGGAAGGCCTCTGGGCTCATATTTTAACCGTTTCCTGCCCCTCCTCTCTTAGCATATCTACTGAAGCCGCCATGCAGGAAATACAATCTAGAAATCTTTGCTATAGAGTGGCGAAGTCCCTCCCCTTCCGGTGGACCTCCATGGGACCTTATTTCGGAAAAAATATGTATTGAAGTCAATGGAGAGAGAAAGATTATCTTTCGATCCCGTTTGAATTGTGCCACGAATTACACATATGATGTTTGTCAATTTAAAAGATAATTTTGCCAGTCAAAAAAAAAAATGTGTCGTAGAACTGTGAAGTAACACATTTTTTTGTGTGAAACGCTCAATGAACTACATCTCTGCTCTCGCACAACAACACAGACGTCACTACTGTCTTGCTAAACAAGGGATTGACAACCCTCACTATCAACACAATGAAACACGTCCAGAAGAATGTCATGCAAAGCTGCCTGCCTGCCTTCCTTTGATTCTCTCTGAACTGCCTGGTCCTTTTAATGTTTAATGTCAACCATTTGTGCAGATAGCATGAAGTAGAAAAGATCGGCGATGGTAATGTGCGTTAGCATTTCTCCCCCGGGCTTAAATGGTGTATTATAGAATGATCACACCGGTGTGACAGTACTCTTCAAAGGGTTTACGAAATATGACTACTATTCTTACTGTTTAATATGTTGGGTTACTTAATGTTACTTCATGTTAAGGCTAATAAAAAAGCTAAAAGTGACGTCACCCCATTCAAAGTGAATGGGCAGAAGCGTTGGAAGCTTCAACGCACGCCGCTGTGTGGACAGGCCGTAAATACAGCGGCAAGCTTTGGGACGGCCTCCCCTCTCTCCGGCAGAAACAGGAAATGCCGCAACTGTATGTAACAACGGTTTCAAATCAGCATCTCTACGGCCCGTCCACACTACAGCTTCAAAAAAAGCTTGGAGCTGGGCGTGTCTGAAGCTCGACCAACAACCAATCACATGAATCTCCCGCCCCTGACACACAAGCAGCGGTTTAATTGGCTAGAGCTTGTACTGGCATATGATTTGATTGGCTGACGCTTCCACCGAAAGCTTCAGAAGCTTCAAAAGTTAACGGCCCGTCCACACTACAGCTTCGACAGCTTCAAAAACGGTTTCCAACGCGTCTGCCCATTCACTTTGAATGGGGTGACGTCACTTTTCGCCGAACTGCATTGTGGGAAGCAGAGCGGAGCTTTCCTGGCGTTTCAGGCTGCAAAAGTTGAGCAATGTTCAACTTTTGAAGCTTCTGAAGCTTTCGGTGGAAGCAGTTAGTTGTCTGATGATATTGTGCAGCGATGTCATCAGGTTGTTACCACGCAGATAAGAGAACATGTTTCGGAAATGCAGTAAGAAGATGCAACTGAAAAACAAAATGCATGCTTACCACTTTTGCTGATGCCAATAAATAAATCATCAACACAACTGACCTTTGTTTTATTCTCCTGACACATCGAGACATTTTAGACCTGGTTGGAAAATGTTTTCTTGCACAATATATACTCCTAGTGATGCCAGCTTTCTTACAAAGCTTACAGAGATGTACTGAAGATGATCACGTCAAACACCTCAATCAATCTGGTTCAGTCACATAATCCTTCATTGTGAAAAGTCAATTACAAAAAGAGAAACAAAATGGAAAATCAAGCACAAAAAAAAGCCATAACATAAAAGACAACAAACAAATACAAGTACCAAATTAACCCTCCTGTTGTCTTCGCGTCAAATCTGACCGATTTACTACTTTCATCAATCATAACTTTGTTGTTTTACATTCGATTGCATTAAGGCTTCATGATATCCTTCACAGTAGACATTTGAACATATACAATTGCGGATCACCACTTTCATTGCATTTTGGATGATTTAGTCAACTTTGTAACAACCATGGTGTTCCCGGTCAAAAATGACCGCCATAAAGAAAAGGAATTAGTAAATATCCGGATCGGATCAGATAAAACACACACACACACACACATGTACTCTAGATGTGTCCCCCCCCTTATGTGCCCACCCCCCCATGTGAATCACACCTGGCACACGCAATACATGTTCAGTGTCTATTTTCATGTATACCAGTAGTCTGATACAATATGTACAGTTTGAAAGGGTGTTAAATGAAATTTGGTGATGATTAATGGTTTTGTGTTAATGTAATAGCAGTTAAAACAGGACCGGTCAAATTTGACCGCGAACACCAAAGTAAGGGGGAAACGAAGACAATAGGAGGGTTAAAAAGAAATAGTGCAAGAACAGCAATACTATATCCAAAAAGAAAGTCTAACCCCTCGAGTGGAAAGAACCAGTGATATCTTCTTATAACATTAATAATAACTTACAGACTCACAACAGGAAATATCTCTGGGCTCAGTTTAAAGTCAGGATTATCTATTACCCCCTAATCCCACCAGGAGCGTCTGCGCTGCGCTGCGGCTGCTGCGTTTTTAGCGATCGCGGCCACTCTAGTCAATGGGTGCTATTCCACCAGACCCGCTGAGCCACGCTGAGCCACGCTGCGCCACGGCTCGAAGCGTCCCAGAAGCTCCTCGCCGCAAGGAATTTCTAAAATATAGGATGAATCCTATTTTTGACGCGGCGCAGCGCAGCGCGGGCAGGAAGTGGAATGTTCATCCAACAACTGCGAGGCTGCACACACGACGCTCCGCTTCCGCAACGTTTTGAAACGCGCCTGGTGGGTTAGGACGCAGGAGGAGGTCGCAGGAGGAGGTCGCAGGAGGAGGTCGCAGCGCGGCGCAGCGCGGCACAGCCGCAGCGCAGCGCAGACGCTTCCGGTGGGATCAGGGGGTTCGAATAAATCCTTATTTATGTCATGACCTGGTGGAAGAACAGCACGCTGACGATCAGGAAACCCAGGACCCACCAGTAGGAGCCTGAAGAGAGAAGATATACACAGTATGTAATGTAAAGCAACTCTCAAGACATAAAATATTTGATGATACACTTTCTGATTAAATATAGAGTGGACTACAATGCAATAATAATACATCATATTTTAATAGCGCTTTTCTAGGAATCAAAGTGGCTTTACAATATAAGGGAGGGTTGGGGTAGGACAAATAAAAATGACCATTAGTCATAAAAACACTTAAAATTCCCCAAAAAGGAGGTGTGTTATATTTGATCATATTTAAATCAAGGAAAAGTTGAATTAAACTTCAGTTAACATGGAGGTTTGGAAAATGATATTGGTTTTGTGTCATTTAAACGGAAATGTACTGATGGTCAAGTGAAAAACTGTAGTTGAGAACCAGGGTGTCTTAAACCCTGCTGCTGTAAAACAAGAGGGTTTCTGAAACATTACGGCTTCTGTCAAAGTTTCTCTTGTTAACTTTAAACAACATCACAGCAACAGCCACACATTATTACCTTGTGTTGGACTTTCTACCACAACAGTGAGAGACACAGGGGCGTCCAGGGCCTGGTGGGACACCCTGCAGGTGAGCCTGGTCCCCGGGGAGACGCTGGAGGGGACAGACAGGTGAGAGGACAGGGAGTAGGAACCGTCTCCGTGCTGCCGGTGGCTGGAGAGAGAGCCCTGATCCAGGAGCAGTTTGGGCTCTGAGTCCTCAGGAGAGAGGGACCACCACTCCATCTGAGAGGAGGGAGAACAGTGAGATGTCAATCAATCAATCAAACTGTGCTATAATCTTAATAATAAGAAACTGAATTAATAGAGCACATTTAGTTACAGTTAGAAAATGGTTAACAATAGAAAACAGAACACAAAGGGAATGAAGTAGACCAAAAGCCAGAAACTTAACGGAAAAAATAAAACAAAGAGTGTAAAATACACAAAATATCATAAAACATAAATCAATTCACAAAAAAGCAATCTGGAAGGAGGGAGAAAGTAGAGAAATATGACCTGTCCATCAATTAATCAAACTGTGCTATAATATTAATGTTAATAATAATAATGGATTCAATTTGAATAGCGCCTTTCAAGGGACCCAATGCCGCTTTACACGGGGAACAAGAGGGGCAAATAATAAAGTAGTATTACTAATAATACTAGGAGGAACAGTAGGAGTGGAAGCAGGGGGACTGTGATGGGTTAGGGGTCAAAGGCCATGGTTGTTGTGGAATATTTTCCAAGGCCCATAACTTTGACCCAGTTGATCAGTTCAAACTGTCCTGACTGAGCACACGCACCTCGTAACCTTGGCTGCTGTGCTCTCAGTGTTCTGTCTCCCTGTTCCTGCCTGTTGGCGTCAGCTGATAGAGGTGTTATGGTTCTATGTTCCTGCCTGTTGGCGTCAGCTGATAGAGGTGTTATGGTTCTATGTTCCTGCCTGTTGGAGTCAGCTGATAGAGGTGTTATGGTTCTATGTTCCTGCCTGTTGGATCAGCTGATAGAGGTGTTATGGTTCTATGTTTCTGCCTGTTGGCGTCAGCTGATAGATATGTTATGGTTCTATGTTCCTGCCTGTTGGCATCAGCTGATAGATGTGTTATGGTTCTATGTTCCTGCCTGTTTGCGTCAGCTGATAGAGGTGTTATGGTTCTATGTTCCTGCCTGTTGGAGTCAGCTGATAGAGGTGTTATGGTTCTATGTTCCTGCCTGTTGGCGTCAGCTGATAGAGGTGTTATGGTTCTATGTTCCTGCCTGTTGGCGTCAGCTGATAGAGGTGTTATGGTTCTATGTTCCTGCCTGTTGGATCAGCTGATAGAGGTGTTATGGTTCTATGTTCCTGCCTGTTGGATCAGCTGATAGAGGTGTTATGATTCTATGTTCCTGCCTGTTGGAGTCAGCTGATAGAGGTGTTATGGTTCTATGTTCCTGCCTGTTGGCGTCAGCTGATAGAGGTGTTATGGTTCTATGTTCCTGCCTGTTGGATCAGCTGATAGAGGTGTTATGGTTCTATGTTCCTGCCTGTTGGCGTCAGCTGATAGAGGTGTTATGGTTCTATGTTCCTGCCTGTTGGCGTCAGCTGATAGAGGTGTTATGGTTCTATGTTCCTGCCTGTTGGCGTCAGCTGATAGAGGTGTTATGGTTCTATGTTCCTGCCTGTTGGCGTCAGCTGATAGAGGTGTTATGGTTCTATGTTCCTGCCTGTTGGATCAGCTGATAGAGGTGTTATGGTTCTATGTTCCTGCCTGTTGGCGTCAGCTGATAGAGGTGTTATGGTTCTATGTTCCTGCCTGTTGGAGTCAGCTGATAGAGGTGTTATGGTTCTATGTTCCTGCCTGTTGGCGTCAGCTGATAGAGGTGTTATGGTTCTATGTTCCTGCCTGTTGGCGTCAGCTGATAGAGGTGTTATGGTTCTATGTTCCTGCCTGTTGACGTCAGCTGATAGAGGTGTTATGGTTCTATGTTCCTGCCTGTTGACGTCAGCTGATAGAGGTGTTATGGTTTTATGTTCCTGCCTGTTGGAGTCCGCTGATAGAGGTGTTATGGTTCTATGTTCCTGCCTGTTGGCGTCAGCTGATAGAGGTGTTATGGTTCTATGTTCCTGCCTGTTGGCGTCAGCTGATAGAGGTGTTATGGTTCTATGTTCCTGCCTGTTGGAGTCAGCTGATAGAGGTGTTATGGTTCTATGTTCCTGCCTGTTGGAGTCAGCTGATAGAGGTGTTATGGTTCTATGTTCCTGCCTGTTGGATCAGCTGATAGAGGTGTTATAGTTCTATGTTCCTGCCTGTTGACGTCAGCTGATAGAGGTGTTATGGTTCTATGTTCCTGCCTGTTGGATCAGCTGATAGAGGTGTTATGGTTCTATGTTCCTGCCTGTTGGCATCAGCTGATAGAGGTGTTATGGTTCTATGTTCCTGCCTGTTGACGTCAGCTGATAGAGGTGTTATGGTTCTATGTTCCTGCCTGTTGGCATCAGCTGATAGAGGTGTTATGGTTCTATGTTCCTGCCTGTTGGAGTCAGCTGATAGAGGTGTTATGGTTCTATGTTCCTGCCTGTTGGCGTCAGCTGATAGAGGTGTTATGGTTCTATGTTCCTGCCTGTTGGATCAGCTGATAGAGGTGTTATAGTTCTATGTTCCTGCCTGTTGGCGTCAGCTGATAGAGGTGTTATGGTTCTATGTTCCTGCCTGTTGGCATCAGCTGATAGAGGTGTTATGGTTCTATGTTCCTGCCTGTTGGAGTCAGCTGATAGAGGTGTTATGGTTCTATGTTCCTGCCTGTTGGCGTCAGCTGATAGAGGTGTTATAGTTCTATGTTCCTGCCTGTTGGCGTCAGCTGATAGAGGTGTTATGGTTCTATGTTCCTGCCTGTTGGATCAGCTGATAGAGGTGTTATAGTTCTATGTCTGCCTGTTGGATCAGCTGATAAGGTGTTATGGTTCTATGTTCCTGCCGTTGGATCAGCTGATAGAGGTGTTATGGTTCTATGTTCCTGCCTGTTGGATCAGCTGATAGAGGTGTTATGGTTCTATGTTCCTGCCTGTTGGCGTCAGCTGATAGAGGTGTTATAGTTCTATGTTCCTGCCTGTTGGATCAGCTGATAGAGGTGTTATAGTTCTATGTTCCTGCCTGTTGACGTCAGCTGATAGAGGTGTTATGGTTCTATGTTCCTGCCTGTTGGCGTCAGCTGATAGAGGTGTTATGATTTTATCTTGTTATGCAGCAGTTTGATGATGCTCTCAGAACTAGTTAAAGAGTTCTTTAGAATTGACGTGGCAACTCTACCGTGAAGTCAGAACCTCTGGCTCTTGGACTTGTGATGTGAATTCTCCGGCCGTAACTCCAAATAAACCTCCAGTGTTTGACATCAAAGCTCCTGCTCTTCCCGTGTCTCTTTCCTGAGTCGGTGACTCCCACTGCATTGCTACACAGAAGTTTCCCTTACAATTGTGAACAGGTGAGTTTTTAATGATCAAAAAAAGAATAATAATAAGAAACTGAATTAATATAATTTTTCAGATTTCATATGGCATTCACACCATATCCCAACGTGCATTGCGGCTAAAACATCCAATCAGCGAGCTTAAGCCATAGCTGAGGATCTTGGGTAATCAGTTCAGTGGCTGTGTATCGCAATGATGCTCGAAATGTCCCTTTTAGGCCTACGTCTGTTTCCGGTTATTTTTATTTTGAAATTCAGATCCTGACGGACGCCAAAAAAGCCAGAGATTATGGAATTAAACCAATAAATAAAAACAAGGATAATTGTGTGTTATTAGTGAGTAAATAACAGTGTGTTATTTAGAAAAGAATAACAAATTAGAAGGAAAAAAGATTTTAAAAAATACAGATTTCAGTATTTCTTTCCCTCACAGACGGCAAAAAAAGACGTGTGTAAAGTTAATATTAACACAGTACAAAGGTTAAAAAGCATCCAAGTAATAATCGAAAACATTGAATTGTTATAACATCTAGTGACAGACCTGAGCATCCAGTGGATAATATTTAGAGCAGTGGCAGCTCAGCGTCTGGGGCGGGTCCATCTTCAAAACAAACTTCTCCTCTGAGAGGGAAACCTCAGGAGGTTCTGAAAACAAAGATTAATTGATATATTCAAAGATTCAAAGGTTTTATTGTCAGATGCACAAAGCTACGGAAATAACATGACATTCTTCTGACCTGAGCTCCTCCAACAACGCAACATGTAAAATAAAATACAAATAAAACGTAGTGCAAGAAGTCTATATACATGTGAATAGAATATGATACAAGAACAGAATATGAAATTAAATAATATACATTAAGACATTAAAGTAGAAAGAAAGTAAGGTCATAGAATTTCTGCTAAAAAGTGAGCAATGATTGAGTCAGAGCTAAACATTTCAGATGTGTGTATCTCACATTGCACTGTCACTTTATTCATGTTTTATTATCTTTGCTTTGAAAGGAGTGTTTTTAAATGCCATTTTATAATAAATGTCTTAATGTCTTTCATGTTTGTAAAGCACTTTGAATTGCCTTGTGTTGAGAGGTGCTAAATAATAAGTGAACAACTGAAATGGAAATAATCAGATACATAAAAAGTATCTCAAAGCTTAAAGTACTTGTATCTTTTGACTGGTATATACTATAGTACTGCATCATATTGCACAGTATAAGCGTATCAAGGTGCTATTTAAATAAACTGGCCTTGCCTCGTTGCCTGTGGGATCAAACTGAGTCTGGTCTGAGTTTAAACTTACGAGTGACGTGCAGCTGGATGACCTGCTGGGCGTTGAAAGGCTCGAGGGTGACGGTGCAGATGTACGTCCCCTCGTCCAGCGCCTTCAGCCGGGACAGAGTCAACGAGGCGTCTCCCTGTCCGACGACCAGAGAGGCGTTCACGCTCGAACCCTTCCTTTCTGCCAGCACTGACCACAGAGAATGAAACCGAAATAATTGAAAAACAATCTCAACTCGAGGTCCATCTTCTGGCTTGATTTAGAGACAGCTTTTTGTTGTTTCTTTCTCTCTTACTTGTATGTTTTGCGCAGACTGCTTATACTTAGCTAAGGCTGTTGAATGCAGTTTACATACAAGATTAATTCCTAGAGTAACTACACAAATTGATGACCAATTATGAAGTTTTAGAGCTTGGTCCTAGCTGAACCATCTCACTAATTAAATGTTAAAAAAATGATAATTTAACAACCCATTTATTACGTGGTTAAGAGGAATTCAATCCCAAAGTAATCACACAAACTGATGATTACGAACACAAGTTTCAAAGTTACTATATGTCTCAGTTACCTCATCCATGTATTGTGGTTCAACAACATATTTATTAAATAATATCATGACATATTTCTGAATGATATTACGTTTGTTTTAAATATTTAAATACCCCAACTATTCTGTGATGTCAAAACAGCCACTCTGCGTTCACAAAAGGTTGTGATTGTGAAACATTAGGCGCTTTCACACCAGAGTACTTTTCACACACACACACACACACACGCACACACACACACACACACACACACACACACACACACACACACACACACACACACACACACACACACACACACACACACACAGGTCATGTGCAATGACACTTTTTACTCTCGACTAGTTATTAGTGGCTGCTGTACTTTGAATTACTTTTATATGGTAACTTGCTGCCACTTAATTTTATAATGCTGTTTTTTTTAATCTTTTAATCTTTGCTGTTGTAACGCTGTAAATATCTCCGTTGTGGTAAAACGGATGTCTGATCCAGATAAAGCAGAATACCAGTGGCAGCACTCACCCACTGTGCTCCCCTCTGCATCATCCAGCCTCGTCTTCATTTCAAACACTTTCCAGCCTTTCCCCCGGTGCTGCAGTCGCCATTCAACGGCCACTTCCTGCGCTAAGGGGGTCTCCTGCTGCCTGAAGCCGCAGGACAGGAGAACGTCTCCTCTCAGAGGAGCGGACACAGACTTTATGCGGGAAAACACCAGGAAGATCACTGCAGGACAGAAAACAGAGAGAAAAAATAGTCTGTTGTGATGTTATCAGAGATGGCAAAAGTACACACATCCTTTACTCAAGTAGAAGTACAGATACTCGTGTTTAAAAATACTCTGGTGAAAGTAGAAGTACTGACTAAACTTCTTTACTCAAGTAAAAGTAAAGAGGCTTTGAAATGTACTTAGTAAAAAGTACCCATAACTAGCAGCTGCTTCAAAGAGTACCTGACCTCCCTTTATATTAATAGAACAATAATGTCATTGTTAGCTAATGAATGTTTCCATGCTGAACAACGGCAACATGACAACGTTTCCATTGGTCCCTCTTCTTTAGAGAAGACCAGGAAATGATGGATACACGGATCGTGTTCAAATCAATAGGCACGCAATGACTCTAAAGAATAATGATCACGCCACAAAACACACATTCAGACTAAAGGAACCAGCTGTTTGGAAAATGAGAGAAGTAGAAAGTACAGGTATTTGAGTTCAACATGTAAGAAGTAGAAAGTACAGGTATTTGAGTTCAACATGTAAGAAGTAGAAAGTACAGGTATTTGAGTTCAACATGTAAGAAGTAGAAAGTACAGGTATTTGAGTTCAACATGTAAGAAGTAGAAAGTACAGGTATTTGTGTTCAACATGTAAGAAGTAGAAAGTACAGGTATTTGAGTTCAACATGTAAGAAGTAGAAAGTACAGGTATTTGAGTTCAACATGTATGAAGTAGAAAGTACAGGTATTTGAGTTCAACATGTAAGAAGTAGAAAGTACAGGTATTTGAGTTCAACATGTAAGAAGTAGAAAGTACAGGTATTTGGGTTCAACATGTAAGAAGTAGAAAGTACAGGTATTTGGGTTCAACATGTAAGAAGTAGAAAGTACAGGTATTTGAGTTCAACATGTAAGAAGTAGAAAGTACAGGTATTTGGGTTCAACATGTAAGAAGTAGAAAGTACAGGTATTTGTGTTCAACATGTAAGAAGTAGAAAGTACAGGTATTTGGGTTCAACATGTAAGAAGTAGAAAGTACAGGTATTTGGGTTTCAACATGTAAGAAGTAGAAAGTACAGGTATTTGTGTTCAAAATGTAAGAAGTAGAAAGTACAGGTATTTGTGTTCAACATGTAAGAAGTAGAAAGTACAGGTATTTGTGTTCAACATGTAAGAAGTAGAAAGTACAGGTATTTGTGTTCAACATGTAAGAAGTAGAAAGTACAGGTATTTGTGTTCAACATGTAAGAAGTAGAAAGTACAGGTATTTGTGTTCAACATGTAAGAAGTAGAAAGTACAGGTATTTGAGTTCAACATGTAAGAAGTAGAAAGTACAGGTATTTGTGTTCAACATGTAAGAAGTAGAAAGTTCAGGTATTTGTGTTCAACATGTAAGAAGTAGAAAGTACAGGTATTTGAGTTCAACATGTAAGAAGTAGAAAGTACAGGTATTTGTGTTCAACATGTAAGAAGTAGAAAGTACAGGTATTTGTGTTCAACATGTAAGAAGTAGAAAGTACAGGTATTTGAGTTCAACATGTAAGAAGTAGAAAGTTCAGGTATTTGAGTTCAACATGTAAGAAGTAGAAAGTACAGGTATTTGTGTTCAACATGTAAGAAGTAGAAAGTACAGGTATTTGGGTTCAACATGTAAGAAGTAGAAAGTATAGGTATTTGGGTTCAACATGTAAGAAGTAGAAAGTACAGGTATTTGTGTTCAACATGTAAGAAGTAGAAAGTACAGGTATTTGTGTTCAACATGTAAGAAGTAGAAAGTTCAGGTATTTGAGTTCAACATGTAAGAAGTAGAAAGTTCAGGTATTTGTGTTCAACATGTAAGAAGTAGAAAGTACAGGTATTTGGGTTCAACATGTAAGAAGTAGAAAGTACAGATATTTGTGTTCAACATGTAAGAAGTAGAAAGTACAGGTATTTGTGTTCAAACTGTAAGAAGTAGAAAGTACAGGTATTTGAGTTCAACATGTAAGAAGTAGAAAGTACAGGTATTTGGGTTCAACATGTAAGAAGTAGAAAGTACAGGTATTTGAGTTCAACATGTAAGAAGTAGAAAATACAGGTATTTGAGTTCAACATGTAAGAAGTAGAAAGTACAGGTATTTAAGTTCAACATGTAAGAAGTAGAAAATACAGGTATTTGAGTTCAACATGTAAGAAGTAGAAAGTACAGGTATTTAAGTTCAACATGTAAGAAGTAGAAAATACAGGTATTTGAGTTCAACATGTAAGAAGTAGAAAATACAGGTATTTGAGTTCAACATGTAAGAAGTAGAAAGTACAGGTATTTAAGTTCAACATGTAAGAAGTAGAAAGTACAGGTATTTGGGTTCAACATGTAAGAAGTAGAAAGTACAGGTATTTAAGTTCAACATGTAAGAAGTAGAAAGTACAGGTATTTGAGTTCAAACTGTAAGAAGTAGAAAGTACAGGTATTTGAGTTCAACATGTAAGAAGTAGAAAGTACAGGTATTTGAGTTCAACATGTAAGAAGTAGAAAGTACAGGTATTTGGGTTCAAAATGTAAGAAGTAAAAGTAAAAAGTCGTCGCACAAAAGAAGTAGCAGAGTAAAGTACTGATACCATAAAAATGTACAGTAACAAAGTATTTGTACTCCACTACTTCCCACCTCTGGATGTTATTGATGGAAGGCAATACAAAGAGTGATATAAAACACTTGTTCTAACCTTCAGTGAGAAGAGTTCCCGAGGGACTGAGAGGTAGACCCAGTTTATTTTGAATGAGGGTCGAATGGTCCCTCTCCACCACTGAAGTCTGCAGAATGAACGCAGTGCTGAACTCGCCTCCCTCCACACTCAGAGACACCAGGAAATGAGTCGCTTCCTGAGCCTCCTGGGGTCCATGAGGAGAGTAACGGCTCAGTTCACACGTCACCTCCTGCTCATTGCAGTCAGCGTGGAGCAACACATGAGCATCAGGGATCTGAGGGGACGACACTGCAACAGAGGGAAGGACAAGAGGCATTTAAAGAGGGTTTTTTCACCCTTTCCTGTAGTGTTATATAGGTTTGTGTGCATGTAAATGGTCTGCAAAGGCTAAAATCCCTGTGTTCCCTCTCCCGCACACACACATGAAACTTCTCCATTGGACTCCTTTGTTGGTCATACTGACATCACTATGTAACACTTGCGCTTCTATTGGCTAGCGCTCCAACACATTGTACGTGATAGACTAAGGGGCGGGACATCTCTAAGCGGTATCACAACAGAGCTAACCAATCAGAGCAGACTGGGCTCTGGTTTCAGACAGAGGGTGAAAAGAGGTGCTGCAGCACAGGCAGTATGAGAAAAATAAAGAACTTTGTGAACATTAAAGCATGGAGACATGTCACAGTAGAGACACTACATACTGATATACACCTGAACATCAGCAGGAGAGGACTCTTTAAAGTAGAGACACTACATACTGATATACACCTGACCATCAGCAGGAGAGGACTCTTTAAAGTAGAGACACTACATACTGATATACACCTGAACATCAGTAGGAGAGGACTCTTTAAAGTAGAGACACTACATACTGATATACACCTGAACATCAGCAGGAGAGGACTCTTTAAAGTAGAGACACTACATACTGATATACACCAGAACATCAGCAGGAGAGGACTCTTTAAAGTAGAGACACTACATACTGATATACACCTGAACATCAGCAGGAGAGGACTCTTTAAAGTAGAGATACTACATACTGATATACACCTGAACATCAGCAGGAGAGGACTCTTTAAAGTAGAGACACTACATACTGATATGAACCTTAAAATGGCCATGCTCATTTTACACCAAATTTTTAATATAAAGGAAGGAAGTAACCACCTTTGGCTTCTAACAGGATGGCATCTGGGTCAGGGATTGAAGGCGGGACAAACGGAGTGAGCGTCTCCAGGGATTGGTCAGGAGCCACTGGGACGTCTCTTAGGATGAGAGTGGCTGGAGTCCGTCTGAACTGAGACCCGCCTCCCATCCCATCCACCCCCACCCCCTCCTCCACCAGGGTGCAAGAGAGAACCACATCCGCAACCCCGTCACCTGAGGAACAGAGGGAATATAAAACTTGAAAACGTTGACTCATCTAGAATTAATGAATGACAAGTTATTACCCGAGAAGTGGGGGATAACATTTTACTTTTTTAACATAATTAGGTAAATGAATAACAGAAGACTACTAATGAACAAAAAGCAAGACTTTATTTTATGGAGCCACTATTTCCTAATGATGTCCTTACATTACCTGGGACAGATTACCTGACAGAGTTCTGAGATATTTCCTAAAATTATTTTTGTGTTGATTTTAAAAGCAGTTGTTGATTTCCAGATTAATTACATTTGACAAACTCTATATAAAGACAAGTCATTGAATTCAACTCCTATGTATTGCTAAGATCTCTTTCTTCTCACACATCTGATGACATTTACTTTTTCATATTTGTGCATGTTAAAATGATCCATTATGCACGAAATTATTCTAGGTCATACATTAGCAGTTCATTTGATACAATTAATTGTAAGTGTAGGAAGTTAACACTATCTCCATTTTCCATTTAATTAGTGCCAATTACATTAAGGTTAAATTAATATTTCTTTACAAGATTCATAACTGAAGGTACATTTAGTGTCCATTCAGTGCTGCGTCAATATGCCATCATGAGTTATCTTACCAGAAACGCACGTCAGGAAGTATCCAAACAAAATGACTTGAATCATCATTAGGGAGTCCTCCGGTGTCCGTGTTTTTAGGAACTGAGTGGTTTTTTTAGGAATAAAGAGTGTTTTTAGATGATTAACTGTTAGTATGTTACTAAAAGATCAAGTGAAACAACCTCTATCAAACACAAAAAAAACAAAGTACTTTCACTTTTGATTTTAAAAACTAAAAACAGCTAATTGCATCGGTACAATCCGGGTATTTTACAGCCTCTCCTTCATCCCATGCTATTAGAAATTGATCTAATATAGTAGTAAACTATTGAGCAATGAGCCGATTCGCTATCCGGAGCATGCGCAGTAAGCAGAAGCAGAGGAGAGAAAGTGAAAGTGAGAGAGCATCCTCCAATGAGAGAAGAGCAAGAAGCGGGTCAGGGGTTACTATAGAAACAAGCACTCGTTAGGGTGAACTGTTTGGTATTTTAAGCAAACAACTTCACAGACATGTTTTATATGGCCCTACAATATATGTTTCCAATATAGCATAATAGGTCCCCTTTAAGTAAGCTTTCTTAACGCTAATGTTATATATTAGTCAGATTGCTCTGAAGATGGGCGGTGACATTCTATTAATTTTCACATTCAGTCAGTTGATTTTTGCCGGCCGTCTTTCCTGCAACGGCAGTTTTTCTGTATTTCCTTATCCAGTAATATGACTTGATCGCTTTCAACTCCGCACACTGAGCTCTGATTGGTCAGCAGGCGGTGCTTTCACTGACTTGATCTCCTGGAACATAAGTTACCATGGAGATCTAGCCCGGTAAGAAGAGAACCAGCGCCGTAGGACCGGAAACCCAGAGTTTACCCTGAAGTTAGCTTGCTAAGCGAAAATCCGGCTTCGTAGTACAGGCCTCAGGTGCTGTGGACTCTCTGTTCATAAATCTACATTTTTTCATTGTAAAGTGAACCCTGAACTTACCTGTTTGTGCAAAAAGATATTACTTAAAAAACAAACTGAAAACTATTCCTAGCACCACTAAACAAACACTCCTGGTTTAATCCTGAGGTATTTATGTTATGTAAGGCATTGCACTCACCTGCTTTGTGGAGGAATTAAAGCTTAATTGTTTAGTGCTTATCAAGGAGGTGCAGTTTGTTAACCAAGGGATGTGTTGTGTTACACACTGTCTGTAGAGTACACCACTGGGAATATATTTCAGTTATGTTAACAAAAAGTGCCTGTTGAGCGTACAGTAGATGTCTTAAGCATTACATTTGAACAGGAGTATTTCTCCATAAAATCCTATGTGTTCAACTTTCTTGCCTCGGAGAACACGCCTGCGATCTTAGTTGTATGTGTGTTCGGAGAGGAAAAACATTACATGTTATTTGTGAGACGGTTTTATCCAAAGCGACTTACATACTCAATACTGTGGACAACCCCCACAGGAGCAATTTGGGGTGAAGTGTCTTGCCCAGAAACAACGACATGCAGTGGGGTTTGAACCTGTGCTCCCCTGATCTGAACACCAACGCACTAAGCCACTGCGCCACACACCTCCCAAAAACACTTTCTGATTTGTCAATCTTCTCATCACTGGGTTTTATAGCTTGTAAACAATCTCAGGAGAGCATAATCACAAATGATAATAAAATATGAGGTTAGGACACAAAGTCTTCTGTGCATCAATAAGTGACGGATCTGAGCTCAGTGGGGTCTGCGTTTAATTGATCATTTCAAAGCTGATCAAGTTAACACTGCAGTAAAGAGGTCAGCATAAAGCCTGAAGGAGACACTGATCAAAGTAAGCAGATAAATAGCTCTTTTAGTTGAAAGATGTGCACTAAAAGCACGAGCGACAAACGTTAAGAGTATTTATCTCCGCTGTCTGTATTTTATTTATAGTCACATTATATTTAATCAAATGAGTAATTGCAAAGTGAATAGCAAGTACATTTGCATTGGGTCATATAGGAACATTTAATTGTAGGCATGAGTATGCACTAACTTCCTTAAAGCAGATGTGTGTCTGTTTAGTTGAGGTTTAACTCAGTCATTTTAATTATTTTGACTCGGATCTCACACGCCATAACATTTGAAAATTCGATTGAATGGTCCTTTAAAAAAAAAAAATGTTCTCATCATCATTGAAAAATATATCGTGTTATTTTCTGTACCAGATAGGGAAGTCACATTCACCTTGATATAAAGTCATTTAATGGAAGAGGCAGATGTCATGTCGGAACACAGGTGCACTTTATTGAAATGGTTTAGTCAGTGTACAGGTTGCCTCCCCCGGCCTGGCATCCCATCATCAATGCCTGTCAGAACAATGCAGTTAACCAACATTTGGAATGACTCAAAAGAAAATAGAAAGATACAAAAAAAATGTAAGTCACCAGATGCAACAGCTGAACCCTGTTTGTTTTTAAAAAACCTAGTTAAACATTACGGTGTCCTTCATCGTTAAGAGTTTAAAATCTTGAGTCACGTGCCAAAATAACTGAAGCCAAGCTAAAGAGATGGTCGTCCAGGCTCTGGAGGGTCAGAGTCTTCACCACAGATGTTTCAGTGACTTAGTACTCCTCCCCTTCTTCTCCTTCGTCCCCCACGCTGTCGGTGCCCACCTCCTCATAATCCTTCTCCAGGGCAGCCATATCCTCTCTGGCCTCAGAGAACTCTCCCTCCTCCATCCCCTCTCCAACGTACCAGTGGACGAAGGCCCTCTTGGCGTACATCAGGTCGAACTTGTGGTCCAGGCGAGCCCAGGCCTCTGCGATGGTGGTGGTGTTGCTCAGCATGCACATGGCCCTCTGCACCTTGGCCAGGTCTCCTCCAGGAACCACGGTAGGGGGCTGGTAGTTGATGCCCACCTTGAAGCCAGTGGGACACCAGTCCACAAACTGGATGGTGCGCTTGGTTTTGATGGTGGCGATGGCAGAGTTGACATCTTTGGGCACCACATCACCACGGTACAGGAGGCAGCAGGCCATGTACTTGCCGTGGCGGGGGTCGCATTTCACCATCTGGTTGGCTGGCTCGAAACAGGCGTTGGTGATGTCAGCCACCGACAGCTGCTCGTGGTAGGCCTTCTCTGCGGTGATAACTGGGCGTAAGTGGCCAGAGGGAAGTGGATACGAGGGTAAGGCACCAAGTTGGTCTGGAACTCAGTCAGATCCACATTCAAGGCACCATCGAAGCGCAGGGAGGCGGTGATGGAGGAGACGATCTGTCCAATCAGCCTGTTGAGGTTGGTGTAGGTAGGGCGCTCGATGTCCAGGTTCCTGCGGCAGATGTCGTAGATGGCCTCATTGTCCACCATGAAGGCACAGTCGGCGTTCTCCAGGGTGATGTGGGTGGTTAGGATGGAGTTGTAGGGCTCCACCACAGCGGTGGACACCTGGGGGGCGGGGTAAACCGCAAACTCAAGCTTGGACTTCTTGCCGTAGTCGTCAGAGAGACGCTCCATCAGCAAGGAGGTGAAGCCAGAGCCGGTTCCTCCTCCAAAGGAGTGGAAGATCAGGAAACCCTGGAGCCCTGTGCAGTGGTCAGCCTGGAAATAAGGGATAATGGTTTTAAATGTTTTGCCATCAATCGAAATATGTTTTTATTTTAAAGGCTTCACTTGCAACATGTAATGAGATGAAGAACTCACCAGTTTGCGAGTCCTGTCAAGCACCAGGTCGATGATCTCCTTGCCGACGGTGTAGTGACCGCGGGCGTAGTTGTTGGCTGCGTCCTCCTTACCGGTGATCAGCTGCTCGGGGTGGAAGAGCTGGCGGTAGGTTCCTGTACGGACTTCATCTGAGGAACAACACGGTACAGTCATGGGTATTGAACCAGAATAATCCAGAATATTTTAGATACACGTATATTCTACTGTAGATATTATATTTGCTGTTTATTGATTTTATTTGATTATTTATATATTTTAATGCCTGAACACACTGCTGCGGCAACTAAATCATTTCCCAATTTGGGTTCAATAAGCATCTATTTATCCGTCTGTCCTACCCGTCTTCTTCAGAAATATTATTTCACGTTTAAATACAAATATATGTATCCTTACCAATTACAGTGGGCTCCAGGTCCACAAAGACGGCTCTGGGGACGTGTTTGCCGGCTCCAGTCTCGCTGAAGAAGGTGGTGAAGGAGTCGTCTCCTCCTCCGATGGTCTTGTCACTCGGCATCTGACCGTCAGGCTGGATGCCGTGCTCCAGGCAGTAGAGCTCCCAGCAGGCATTGCCCATCTGGACTCCGGCCTGGCCGACATGCATAGAGATACACTCACGCTGTGGAGGAGAGACAAACGGTTACTTTTGAGCAGATTACATTTTCGAATTTGTAGTAAATAATTATGCACATTTACAGATATTTGACATAATATGAGTGATAACACGTGTTATAAGGGCTATTTTGCACAATAGGTGTGCCTTGAGATTTGTACTTGTCCTTTGGTGTGCCTTGGGCACAAACAGTTTGGGAACCACTGCTCTAGATGATAGGAAAGGAGGTTTCAAACTTCCTTTATAACCTCCTTTAGCTTAGGAACCACTGGACCTCCCTCACCGAAAGGAGAGGAGAAAATGCTGCCCCACAATGCCTTGCAGTTGCAGCATTTGCCGTCACACAACATTCGGCCGTTCACGGAAACAAACGATTATGGCGGAGAAATAATATCATGAAAGTTACGGTGCTTATTAAGCATTTTAAAACGTATGTGGTAAGTTGCCAAAGTGCTTTGTTTTGAACGTTGATCAGTATTATAATCAAAAAGAGAAATATGAACGTTAGTTTTTACTGAAATTATCAAATAAAGTCAACATCTCACTGAGCTGTGTGGGGTTTGTTCAACTTTTAAAAGATGTTTGAATGGTGATGTACACAGTGATAGATGTTAAGGACTAACGTTTATAATAAATACATTTGTATTGATTTTAAGATCTTTTCATTCAATCATACGTATTGGGATCATTTGTATTAATGTGGACCTTTTTTATTTCAATTCCAACTTTGGTCATGAAGAATATGTTTCTCTGTTGTCCACGTTCATAAAGCAAAGCAACAGCATCAGAGCACGGTGCAGAGTCTCTAGATGAGTTTACAGTAGTCCCTCCTTCTTATTAAACATCCATGATGTAGTCCGCTGTATAGAAAACTGTAGTTTCCATGGTTACCCCACAGCAGCAGACGCACATTCATGACGTCCGCTGGCGCATCATAAACACGTCGGATAGTGAAAGTGCAGTCGGATTCTCTAAAGTACCGCAGTCTCTTCTCCTAACTCCT